ACATGAGGGGTCCCTGCCACGCTCCACCTTCCTCTCCAGCTTGCGATGGCACCATCAGGCAGGGACTCGGCTGTCCCCCAGCAGAACACACTGCTGGGGTCCCTCTGCCACACACCAATGCCATGGGACCCACCTTGCCGATGACATCGTTGCGGCTCAGCCTGTCCTTGTCCATGACGGTGATGACAATGGTCGTCTCGCGCAGCCGCTCCGTGGGGATGTCGAAGGCAAAGGACTCGTTGAAGACGGGGTTCAGGCACCGCTTCATCACCACCGTCTTCTTTTTCTCCACCCGCTTGTCCTTGTACATCAGCCACACCTTCACATAGGGGTCTGGTGGGGGACAGGAGCTGCTCTCAGCCCCGGCGGGGTGTCAGGCAGCGATGCCCGGCATGGTGGGAGCCGGAGCTCATACCTGACGTGCCGCCGATGTCCATGGCTTTGAGGTTACGCGCTTTGATGATGTTCACCACGATGGAGTTGGCAGAAGGGTTGTAGCACAGCGACAGCAGCAGCTCCCCACGGCTTCCCTGTGGGACCCACCAAGGACGTTAGGTGGGCGTCCCAAAAACACCCGCCCCTCACCGCGGCACCCAGCCCAAGTCCTGACAGGGCACCTAAAGCCCCTCTGTCCCACCATGGGAGTGAGGGGCTGGGCTGAGATCCCCCCGAGCCGTCTCAAGAGTGGACTTTGGGGCTGCACCACAGAAAATCAGGGCAGGAGGAAATGGGGCCATCCCCAGTGGGACGTTTTCTGGTCTTGCTGGAGGCAGGAGGAAAAGAAAACTTTCATTTTAGATCTACCTGAAACAGCTCTTTTTGACCCAAAATGAGACACTCGCTTTGGGCTACTCAGTGCCTTAATATAAAGATAAAAAGATTTGGAAGGAGGAACCTCCCCATTGGATCTTGAACCTTTTCGCAAAGCAGAAAATATCCTTGTTGGGGTAGCAAGAGGGTGGTGGTCCCGTTGGGACACCATGGGGACAGGGGGTGGCCTCCCCTCGAGGATTGTCCCCAAGGGGGTGGGAGGGGGAGCAGGGCCTTACGCTGCCGTCGCTGCACGGCTTCAGGTCCTTCCAGAAGGTCTGCATCTGGGTGAGGTCCACCTTGTTGAGGGGGATGGACACCTCTCCAATGGGGTCGTTACGGCTGAAGCGGTCATAGTCCAGGACCTGGAGGTACAGCACCCGCTGCACCACCTTCTCGTAGGGGAACCCTGTGCCAGAGACAGACGAGGAGCTGCCGCGGCCATGCTGAGCAGCACCCAGTGCTGGTGCCAGTGCTGTGCCAGTGCTCTCCTGCCTTGCCGGTGCTGATGTTGGCACCAGGCAGGGGATGGGGAGCAGATAACAGCATGGGGCACCTCTCACGGCTTCGGGCCAATGCGGTGGCTGGTAGAAGATGAATTCCTCTGTGTGCACCTACTCATGGGTGCCTGCTGGGTGCGGGAAGGAGCCTCCCCCATGTCCCCTTCATGGGACGCAGAGCAAACGCCTCCAACACAGCACTGATGGCTCAGCCTACCCATCCCATCACCGATGGCCACCACGCT